TATTGCCTCTTGGAGTATAACATGAAACAAATCAGCACCGTTAACGCAGAAAACAAAATTTGCTCTAAAGCTGTTAGTGATGTTCCCATCTATAATCATTGCGTTTCATTGTTCTCTTCCTCTTCTTCTGAAGCATGAAGAACAGATCAAATGACCGGTTAAAATAGCAAACAATGTGCCCATCGACTCACCTTTTAATAAATCGACATGCGGTTCGAAAGGTATGCGCCAGTCATCAATATGTTGACTTAATCTGAATAATTCTCTAATTACCATTGATGAACGATTTTTTGGTGTAATCGTTTAATAGCAACATCGAAAGCGGCCTAAAGGTACAAAGAGTGTCAATGACATACCGCAGAAACGCGTGATTGGTATAGAACACATACTTTAAGTCTTTCACTCAAGTCGTCTGGTGCCACGTTTCCGTCAGTTGTAGAAGGTTTCTAAAACAAGATTTTGAGAGACATATATGTACAAAACATGTTTTGTAGTTTAACTTACTTTGAGATTTATTATTGAGTTTTGTTTTCGATAGAACTGTATTAATTTTTTCAGTTTGTTCATTTTATCTTTTAATTTGGGAACACGTTGACCTAATTCCTCTAATTTTTCGATTCGTTCTTGTAATTGTTCGCATTTTGAACATGAAATTTCATTATCTATGCAAAAATTCGACAAAAACGAACAATGCATGTTGAGATTTAACCAAGGATCTGTACCTTCAGCTAGTCTAGCCTTTTTTCAATATTTTTTGGTTCTTTTCAGTGGTTTCGATGGATCAATATCTCGAATTGCTTGACTTTTCGTTCTGTTTGTATTACCAATTGTTTTAAAACCTGTAATTTCATCTACAAAAGATGAACAAACGAGCGGATGGCTCGTATTTTAGGGAATATAGAAACTACCTCCGAAATTCACTTCCGACGAAATCGAACTCTCGTCCCATTGACATTTACTTGTAGTTGTTCATTGATTATCATTAGCAGAATAATTACGTAAACATAAAACATCTTCATTGTCATTGACTGAGTCAATTAGTATTGGTTTATAAGAAACTACACAGCAACTGTATTTTTAGGCCGAAGAACAGCTGGCAGTCTTAAATGACTTTAGTGCATAGGTTCATGTAAGCCGAAAAAGTACTTTACCAGAATCTCCTTGACTTGTATAACTTTCGGATGGTAATTGTGCTAATGGTAGATTTTCAATTGTAGCTAATGCTGAATCAAATTTTGTACAATTACGTCGTGGTGGCGATGCTTTATATTCATCTCCTTCATCAGATTCACCCTCATGATGTTCAATAAATATTTCTTCACTTCCAGCACTAGCTGCGAAACGTGATTCGCTTCACTTTCGAACTTGTAAAAGGTATGCGAAGGTATTAGAGGGTAGTGAGAGCATAGGCAAGATTAAGACGTACCTACCCAAACAATTCTTAAATCACCTTTTCTACCATTGACTTTTTTCCACTTGCGTCATCCAATGGATCTTTATTTATTATATGTGCGGGAATTGTTGCATGTTTTCTAAACGGTGGAAAACTAATTAGACAATAATCTTGCTCATCGTAGAAATTGTTAACACCAGCATTTTTTCTCGTGGAGCGTCGTAGCATCGTTGAATAGTTCAAAATTAGAATGGAATACTCTGAAATAAAAGACGTATGCGTAATATGTGTACCGCATAATTTCCCCGGCTAAATTTTAAAAAATCATTGTGTATCTTTAGTTCATTATCATCTTTTCCATATGGATAAAATACTTCTTTTTCAATTGCTAATTCATGTTGTTTCTATTTCTGTTGAATCTTTACCAGTTACTACTTTATGTTTCTAGCCATCTTGGAATCTTTAACAGTTTTTTTAAACAAAACTAGTCTTTATATATTGAATTTTGGTGGTATGACACAAAATGGCTTCCAGAAACTCAGTATGCAGTGTATTACTTAGTTATGAATCTTCCCTGGTGAATGTAATTGCGAGTGGGTACTTGCTTACTTGATACAATGTACGCTGGTGGAAATACCATCGCCACTGCGTTACCACAAGAGTGCTATAATTATCTTGGGCGGTGTGCTCCGAGGTGTTCATCCTAATCGAAATTTATTTTCGAACCATTTTGCGCAGCAAATAAAATCTTTACACGTCAATGGCATTAGATTACGTTTGCATGATGGTACCAGTCAGTTATTAGTGTGCGTGCGTACACAATGTACATTATTCGATTTACCAGCATTTGCATCACATTGTAATATTAAACAATTCAATGGTTATGACTTATG